CGTAGCCCATATATAGGCCCGAATATGAGCCTCAGCTGGCGGGCTCATCAAGCCAGCTGAGTGCCGTCATCACACGTGATCAAAACAAATACACGAGGAAACAAAAACAAACCAACATGATCAAACAGACACTCCGGAAAAGCGCACAAACCTGCAACCCTGTCATTTACAGGACATGACACAGAAGTACTCCACAAAGAACAAATAATGAAATGTTATAGTTGGAGTTCTGAAGGCTGGAATTAGGATTAAGGCTGTACTCACACTAGGTACAGTTGCCTCGAACCGGGCCAAAGCACGCTTGTCCCCGCTCCCGTCTCCCCCGACAGCCCGCGCTCACACCACAAACGGGCCTCGGCACGCTTATGTCATCGCTGCTGCGCTGTTCAGTGAGAAGCGCTCTCTCAGACGGCAGCACAGTGGAGATTTCTCTAGTTATATCGTTTTAGTCGTTTAATATGCAGTGACATGCAGTCAAATATTTCGCCAAACAGTCCTTAGGGATGCGGGGACACGCAGTCAGATATTTTCGCCGAACACCGTGCTTGAGCCCAATTCAGCGCACTCACACTTCTCAAACGATCCGGGAAACGGGCCTAGGCACGGTACTGATGGCATAGTGTGAGTAGGCCCTAAGGTGCACCTGCCAGTACCCCTTCCAAAGATCAGTGTGGTGATGAATTGTATCTATGCAACCTTTTCTATTAATACATTGATCCTTTTAGAAAGTAGGATAGGGTAGACATCCATTATTTGCTTATGGAAGTTGACACAGATTCTCAAAGGTCAATCATTCTTTGGGACATTCATAAGCGGGCTAGTTAATTTGCTTGTGGAAGCTTCTATCACCCCCAGCTCCTCCAAGGTCTTAATGTCCACTTTTAATGGGATCAGTGTTCTCTGAGATTCTGAATGGTCTGGGAGGTCATGGACACAGTGAGCGGGATAGTGTGATGGATTAGGCTCTGTTCTTACTGGCCACTAGAAAAGTAAAGGGTAAGTAGCAAGCAACTTTGTTAGTGGTGCAAAAGTACAAAACAAACACAATAATGAAAAATAATTAGGAAACTAATTAGGAGTATATCATTTAAAAATTAAGCTCAGCCCTCTCATAAAATAACAGAAAAAACTGTAATTCTGTATTAAATATAAGATTCAGTAATCTTTAAAACTAAAATCTCTTTTGATAAAAATGCAGTAGTTTGTCCATCCATAGAGTAGCTGCAGCAGACAACAACTGTTATGTGCGTGTGTGTAGAGAAGACACTCACTTACTTACAGACTGACTGTTAAGTGCACAAAATGAGACAATATCTTATATTTCCATTGTTTACAGATGTGTGTGATCATTATACAGTCTAACTTTCACTAACACAGACTATATTTGAAGTATTTGAAAGTAATTAGCATTTTTCCCCTTGGTGGCTCAATGTATTACAATAGGGTTTTTAAAAGACCAAACAGAATTTATTTATATAGTACACAACCACACACATGTGGTCAGAACAAAAACAAATCGCAGGTAATGAAGTTTTAAGAGTTTCGCCAAAAGAAAAACTCATCTAAGCAAAATGCTAGCAGGGACTGCTCACACCCCGCCTCTTTGCCCATTTTTTGTTACCCTTGATCAGCGCAATGATGAGCAAACAAAATGGCAATGATTGCCCACGCCCGCTTATAGCTTCATTTGCGCTATTCAGAAACCTATGGGTGATATTACGCATACTATGTCCATATTTTTTTTACAGTCTATGCTTTTAACCCAAGTACTGCATTGAACTTGATTTAAGTTGCAAAACTAAGAATTGGAACAATGATATGTAGGGAACACCATTAATGACACTAGAAATAGAACGACTACCAATTTCAATGTATTCAACATTGGTAACATTTAAGAATGAATAAAGCAAATAATAAGTACATGAGGTGGTCATCTTCATAGAAGTGAATGCTGTTGTTCAGCCACAAGAATAGAAATCTTTTCTAAAATAGAAATATCAGGTGTTGGTTAGGGCAAAACATGGAAAACCTGTAGCATTGAAAATACATTGTTGCATGTAGTTGTGAAATTGTGTAGGCTTAATAGTCAGGCACGCTCACTCTTGTTGGTGTCGTCAATATGGAAACCTGCATTTGCATAGAGTCGGTTTTGGGAGAGCGACAGGGTAGAACATGTTTGATAAATTGTTACTCTGCTGAGATTTTGAGAAATTTAATGTGTTTTAATTCAGTTGAGTTTATCCAAGGCTGTGAATGTCAATCAACACTTGCTTAATCACGTAACGATAGTTAATTTTTTTTTAATGAGTAGAGTAAGGTTTGATTTTACTACGCTCATTTCATTTGGTAAATTTGTCTATTGGGTTTTACAGTGAACATGTTAAAATAAATGTTATGTGGCTTGCTATCAATATTATCAAACACTATTAAGGCAGATAATACATCATTGGCTAACCTCAACTAGTTTCCTCCCTCACATACTTCACAAAACAGGGAATCGCACAATGTAACTTACAATGTCACTGTGATTTAGTACAATTGTTACATTTAGCTGGTATCACATCTCTGCTTTTAGGCCTTGTGTCATTGTTAACATTTGTTTAGGATTGTGATATAAAAAAAAAAAAAGAATAAACCTTTAAAAAATCTTTGCCACTGCTTGAGTGTACAGCCAGAGAGAGACCAAGTACAATTTGTGTTGATCTCTAATGTGTAATTGTAGCTACATTTGGTACTTATTTATTCTTTTAAAATTGTTATTTGTAATTTTTTTTAATGGTTTACTTATTTGATGTCTGAGTTAGTGTTGTATTACATAATGTACAATTTTGTAATCAACATATTTGATTTTACTCTTCTTTTAGCTATATTTCATTTTTTATAAAAGTTCTAAATACTATTTCTTACAATTCAACAACACTAAATTGGTTAAATACTTTAATCCAACAAGCACTGAACTATTAAAAGAACAAAAATTTTTCACCAAGAGACTGGAAAGAATTGATTCATAAAGTTTTTTTGTCTTAACTTTTTGAAATGCTAAATGTATCTGTTCATTTATCAATTATAATCACCCATGTCCATCAACACTGGAATAACGAAAATCTATTTCAGAACATTAATTAATTTACATCCTCAACCGTATATAATTTACAAAAACCAATCAATTCAATTGTGTAATTCATTGTCTTGCTTTTGTTAAATTCAGAATATAAGTTACCAAAACAACATGCATTAGGCAAGAGTAGGCTACAGTCATTAAAATGTTAAGAAAGTGTTAAGCCCAAGCTGGTTGTTTGGTTTTAGCTGGGCGTCCAGTCTGGCAATAGAGGGGTTTTTGGTCATTTCTAGGCTGGTCTCAGCCATTTCCAGCCTGGTCCTAACTGGTCAGGCTGGGAAATGACCAGCTAAAACCACCTAAACCCCCCTTGCAGCCTAGCCAGTCTGGGAAACCAGCCTAGGTGGTTTTTGGTGGTTTTAGCTGATCTAACCTGACCACACTCAAAAAAAAATTATAATAAAAATTTTATATATATATATATATATATATATATATATATATATATATATATATATATATATATATATATATATATATATTTGCACACGCTGCAAAAAAAAAAAAAAAAAAAAAAAAAAAAACGTGCTGGATTAGTTGGTGGTTTATTCCGCAGTGGCAACCCCGGATTAATAAAGGGACTAAGCTTTCTGTAGTTTAACAGCCGTTTTTTTTTTATTTTTTTTTTTTTTAGGTTTTTTACGTTTAGTGTAACTTAATCGATTTGTGTTGGGACAATAAATTGTTTGGAGTCCTGCTTTTTTCCAGTGCAGCTAAGACCAGGCTAGAAATTGCTGAAACCAGCCCAAGACCCCTCTAAAACCAGGCTGATCAACCAGCTAAAACCAGCCAACCACGTTAGTCTCGTTTAAGTTTTTTTTTTTTTTTTTTTTTTCAGCAGGGAACTGTAGTATCAGGTTAAGAATAGAATAAATATGATTAATACATTTATTTGTTGATCTTTTTTTTTTTTTTTTAAGATTTAAGATTCGACCGATATCACTGCATAAAGAAACGAGATAAAAATAGTTAACATGAAAATTGCAATGACATAGTCACAGTATTCAAGGTTCATTACATTGATTTATTACATTATTACACACTGGCAGTGTTTAATAACATGCAAGTCCTACGTATTTAATTGTATTACTATAATAATTTAAATAAAATAGCATATAAATTTATATTTTATAGTGTAGTAATTGGTTAATATGTAAAATGTTCGAGCTGTCATAAATATACCTATAGTGGTAACTGACATTAAACTCGCTGCGCTAGGACCGCGCGGTTCGGGCAGAGGAATGTGCGCACTGAGGCTGGAGCTGAGTGTGAGTGTGACAGGATGGCAGAGGAAAAGCGCCAGAGTCCTGGAATTAAAATCGTGACCATTATTCAAAGTCAGATTGCGAGTGACACCGCACGGACCCCGGAGCTCACCGTAGTCGCAGTCCGTCATGTCTGCCGACGCGCGGCTGCAACACATCTAATGGCATTTTTCCTCTTCTGTGAATTACTCCAGAAAAAGTATGGACAACGGTTTCTTTGAGGAGTCGTAATTGCGCTGCGCTTAAAGTACAAGAGTAAAACTTAACTTTTCTTTAGAGAGGCGACAAAGTGACTATTCTGCGAGCTCATTTTTAAAAGTTGTACGATTTTATTTATTTATTTTACCATCTTGGACGTGGAAGAAGGAAAATGCATGATGGAAATATGACATGATGGATGTATTTTATTGCTTCAGTGACAGGAGTGCTGTCATGTTTCAGCAGAAGTAAAGAGTCTTGTTGTCTGGTGATCTATCCACTCACAGTTTGGAAAGGAGTAACTTTTTAACAATTACAGTTTCTATAAGCTCGGATACTTTAAGCAGTTATCACTCAAAAGTGTATGCCCTGATGTCATGGGCTGACCTGGGACCGCATAGTTGATAGTGTGGGGTACAATGTCGGGACCCTGCGTCCGCATCCCGTTTTGGGTTCGCGTGTTTCTCCTGCTGCTGCTTTATAGAATCGCTGCGGGCTGCCCGGAGCTTTTTTCCAGCGGCTGCAGCTGCACGGAGGACCGCAGTAAAGCCCACCCTACTCCCGGGACTCGGAGGAAAGTGAGCTGCGGTGGAAAGGAGCTGACTGAAACGCCCGAAGTCAGTCTGCTCCCAAACAGGACTGTCTCTCTGTAAGTATTCGTTTAGTGTTTCTCCTTAGTGACTTTGTCAATGTTATATTTCAGGGAAATAAATCACCCAGTCTCCCAGTACATCTTTAGTTGCATTTTGTGTTTTATTTGTGTTACTTAAACCTTCATAATATAGTTTGGACAAACAATTAAGAGGCTATACCTCAGTTTGCAGTAGGGTTTGTGGTGCTGTTTGAGAATAACATTAACCAAAATTGTTCAAAAAGCTTAAAAGTTTATCAAGAAGCAATTAAAACAAATCTCCAATAACTCTCTAATGAGTGTATCAATGACATGACCTTGGTTAAACAGTTGCGTCTACAGAATTTACTATAAAATTCTGACAGCAACAGGTCATGATGTCCAAATGGCATTACAACACAGATGGAGGCAAAGTTCGGGGACTTGGCAGCTTTTAGCAGCTGTCAAAATGTAACTCTATGAGAAGTCCAGCACCAATTTTACTTGTCATATATTTCTTAACCACTTTCTGATTGCTACAAATATGTGTGCACTTGTTGGTGCACTATAAGAAACATTTAATTAGATTTTATTTTTATTTTGTTTGCACTTACAACTGCTCAACATTTCAGCTATAATGGAAATATTAAAAGGAAACTACTGTACAAATAATTGGTATTACGCTCTGATACAGCTTCTCTTGGACCAATGCCCAAGAGATAAGCTTAAGATGCAGGTTGTTTTAAAATACATTGGAAGTATAGTTATGAGCTTAAAATATTATTTTAAAATGGAAATAAAAGTAACATTTGAATTTCTCACAAAGTGAAACAATCACTTAAGTGAGTACTGAGAGTGTTAGGTATACACTGTACTAATAGTTGTCTGTTTGTTTCAACTATATAATTAGCTGAAACACCATCATGTTTTATGTTCAATTAACTTAAATTAGTAAAAATAATTAATAAGTTAACTTAATTTTCTCGCTTCTGTCGTTCAAAGACATATCAAATGTTTGGAACCCAGCATTTTTTTGTTTGTGAGCATATGTGCTGATTAAAGCATCGTATCTCCACACTCATCTACTGTTTACACACAAGCATGCTCACACTAAACACCTTTAGCCTTCAGCTAAATTAGCCATCATATAGTTGAATTAAAAGGAAATACATCTAAACCCCCAAATCTCTCACCAACCCAGTATCTGTGCATTTTAATTGCCGACCGCCTCCTTCCTTTTTCATGGCTGTGGGATTCCAGTCTGTTATAATGGACCATATTTGTAATGTCTGTGCAGGAAGGAAGTAAAACCCATTGCAAAGTGTGGCTGTAGCTAGTTATGACCTATTGTGCTATTAGCTTGATGACTACTCTCCTACTTGAGACTAAGGCTGTGGCTGTTTGGGCACCTGTACAAAAACCTTATTGGACAAAATATGCGCTTAATCCTGGTGTGAGACAAGGAAGATCAGCCTAGAGCTATGTATATTTGTTTTGGTGAGGAGAGTGCAATTCTTCGTCTGTTTCTTGACATGGACGCCTGAGCAGTCGTCCAACGTTTTCAGTAGGATCAACTTGAATATTGGTGTGGAAAAGCAGGAATTAAACACTCACCATTGCAGTGACTTTCAATGATGCCCTCCTGCTCCACAGTGGGAGCAGAATTGCCTGCACATGGCTGTCATAACAACGTAAACATTAAAAGCTTTGAAACGCTGTGAACAAGCCCAGGAGAGGAGTATGGAGCTTGAGGATTGGTCCCCTTAGAGGAGGAGGCCCAGGGTAGCCAGGACTCCATTTAAAGAGGCTAGTGGTTCTGCTTAATAACCGCTAACATCTGCTCAACACATTGCCTCTGTGAAACCAGAGGAAATGGGCTGAAAAAAAAAAAAAAGATAGGAAGGGGGCAAAAGTAGGCTGGGTGGTAGACGATGGAGGCGTTTGGAGACAAGCTCTCATGAGCCTTTGCACCTCTTAATATCTTTTATTTGTTTTCCAAACATGTGGAAAGTGCACCGTGTGGCACTTTTATGAGGCTTTGTGCGTTAGAAATGTTCATAGTCCTCTGCCCCCTGAAGGGAAAATGAGTAACGTTTAATGAAAATGCCGCTCTCAGCACAAGTTTAGTTGGGTGTTTTTCAAGGTAGTTAATAAGACTGCAAATTTCTCAAGGTTGTCTTTTGGTCTTTATACATGCAGAATATTTAAAATTAATATTGTTTTAATGTTGTTTCCAAAGTCATTTCTTGGGTTTTTCCAGTGAGCATCCAAGGTGCACTTTGAGATAATCACCTGTCAGTTTCTTGCTTAACTCCCCTGTTACTGTCTAGTTCAATACACTCTTAGCAAAAAAGTTACAATACTGCCACTTTTTTTGTTCTAGTTAAAATATCTAAAAATTCTTAAATCAAGAAGCATTTTCTTGGCAAGCAAAACATACAGTTTTGTTTTAAGACATGATATGTCAAAGTTAAATGAGTTTTTCCTTAAAGCAAGCTAAATAATCTGCCAATGGGGCAAGCAAAATATTCTTGTTATCCTTTAGACATAAGATTGTTTTGCTCGTTCCATTGGCAGATTATTTTGATAGTTCTAATGAAAAACGATATTTAATTTTGACACATTATTTCTTAAAAAAAGACAATATGTTTTACTTGTCTACAAAATGCTTCTTGATTAAATTTTTTTTTAGATATTTACCTAGTAGGGTGCATTGGGAAAAGACAATATTTTGATGTTCTGTGATTTATATTCCAGTTGTTCACTAGATGACTTGAATAGCTCTTTTTGGAAAGATTTAATAATTTTAGATTGAGTGAGATGATTTTGTAGGGGAGCGCATCTACATAAAATATAATAAACAAATTACGAACATTGATAAATACAACAGAGTCTTTTAACAGTATTCAGAAATAAAATGATTAAATATATAATAAAACGATATAATCTTCATTGTATAAATACAGCTAATCTTTGTTTAAGCTAAAATGTAATAATTCATTGTGTCCAAATACTTTAAACTTAACTTTAAATGTTCTTTAAAAAGCGTACACAATCAAGACATTAAAAACACACAATTGATAAACTTTCACTTTTATATGGTTTAATCGAAATTACTTCACAATTGTACCTTATCAACTATAATCCTGACTCTATGTAGCTCATCTTGCAATGTAACTATTACGGTTTTTAATGCTAAAACAATAAATTGTGCAACCTACACAGTTGAGTGTGTTGGTGTACATGCAAGTAATCAGGTAATTACAGCAATATTCACCTCAATTAAAGGCTCACGAAACACCCAAATACATTATTTTAGATGTTGACAGTCAAATATGTGTCATATGCTGCTAAAAACACTATTAAGACTATTAGGAAAACTGGTTGTTTTTGCGTTATCTCGAGCAAATTCGTTCTTCCGGTTTGAAACTAATTTTTGAAGCTGCGTCACGGCAATTAGATTCTTGTGAATCTGTACCGGCGGGTAGAATGTGAAATCTTTGAGCTTTCAGCATTAATTCATGAGAAAGACTTGGTTCAAACCCATCAGCTCACTCTATTGTGCATGCTGTGCAAATTAATAATATGCCTGATAGCTTCGAAGACTGTTTTACCTGTTCAGATGGCAGAGAGTTGGTGTTGACTGTCCTGTCTCCACAGATTTGGTAAGTCTGTAATCAGTGCTCTTTGTTTGTTTATTCAGAGGCAAAGTTTGTATCTGTCAGCAGTATTCTTTTAGTTTTTAAAGACATACCTTAGTCAAAATTATTTAGTTATTAAGTTTACAGTACCTTAATATCAATACAAGATTATGGACTGAAAGATCCGCTGTAAATGCTGCTCTCTGAGTGTAAACATGTAAACACCTTTATTAAACTATTACCATCGTGTAGAATTTTCGCCGCATTTTGTGACAGGAAATTCTATGAACATACGGCTTTCTGACACTACTGGGTGCATCTAAGTTACAAAAAACTGCAGAGTTTTTTTTTTCTACCATACAGCGTAGGGTTTCAAAAACTCCATTAAAACTGCACTCTTCCAGCTGTTACTCGCGTCCAACATCTCGTTTGTCATGGGGGGCATGCAGGAAATGTTATTGAAACTGCAGTTAAAGTCCACAAATTAATAATTTGGCAAATAATTCAATTACTGATGTTCATGTAAATATAGTCACTGTCTTTTTCCCCTGTGTCTGTATTTGTTTTCCCTCTGTGAAAATCAGCACATGCCCAAACAGAAACTCCCATTTTTTTGCAAAAACCTTCCTTTCCCTCCTCTGACACTCTCGCCTAAACAGAGCTGGACTCACTCACTTTCCTGACTTTTTTTTCAAACTAGAGGTGTGAAAACACCCTGCTGAGACAGAGGGGTTTCGTGGTCCTTTAGGGCCTACTCACACTATGCCATCCGTACCGTGCCCAGGGCCGTTTCCCGGATCATTTGAGAAGTGTGAGTCCGCTGAATCGGGCTCAAGCACGGTTCACTTGGCCGGCCCTGGCCCGGTTGGAAGAGGTGGGCCTGAATGCGGTTCACTTGGGCTTTGAGCCCGAAACTGAAAGAAAGACGTGACTTTTAAGTAGCGCTGTCAAAATTAGTGCGTTAACGCATGCGATTAATTTTAAATAATTAACGCGTAAAAAAATTAACGCAATTAACGCAGTTGCAGGTTTTTTTACTTCCTGTTGTGGTGGACATGTGTTTAACATGCAAGAAATGTGGATAAGAACAAGGAAGCACTTTTTGAAGGTAAGTTTCAGTATAAAACAATTAGTCGCATCACCAGGCTCTCCAAAGTTTCATGCAATTTCAGGTGTTTCATTTTTAACTTTCGACTTCTGTTGGAAGTTGATACCGCATGGCGAACAGAAAGAAAATCATCTGCATTTCATGACTTGGTGTTCCTTTAAGGTAATAAAATCACTGCTTAGGCTATACGGTAGAATTTTAACAAGAGTATAATCTTAATCATATTAAAATCGGAGTATTGGTGTCTTATGTGAATGTACTCAGAAAGTCGCGAGCTGTCAAAGACAGGG